TGAATAACTAGGACTCCATTAGAGCCCTATATTACTGGAGCGATACGTATACTTGCGTTGACAAATTCGACTTTAACATTATTGAATATTATATTATACAACTTACTCAAATTAGACACATCTATAAAGTCGCGATCAAGTCTTTGGACGTCGTTGCTGGAAATTAAATCTTCTAGTAGCGCCATCAAATTCTTGTATTTGTCGATTTACAAAAATTCGGTCACCTCACCCAGGTTAACCTAATTCAACTGAATCACCGAGTCAACCTGTCCTAGCTCAAGTTAATCCAATTCAATTTAAAAAGCCAACCCGACTTAACTCTAGGAAACCAAATCTCCAGGTCAGCATGACCTAACTCGGGCTAACCTAAAGTCAACTCAGCCCGCTGGAACAACTTGACCTAACTCAATCTAGCCCAATGACAACTTTTTTTTGGGACAATCAGACTAAAGTCCGATCAACCTGAATTGAAACTCAGTTTCAAGCTTAGCTTAAGTCTCAACCCTAGTTTAATCGAGGATTGATTTAAGTCTAACCCAACTTAGACTTAACAACTTAGTTTAACTTGGCTTACCTAAATCCAATCTAAACTAAGTAAGACTAGTTTGACCTCAATCGAACTAAGGCAACCTGGGTTAATCATATTAAACTTTGGTCGATTTAAACAAGTTTGAAAATAGCATGTGGGACAACCGGACTAACTCAGTTTTACTTGGATTACCCAGAGACTCATCATAGATCAGTTCAACCTAACATGAACTAATCTAAAATCAACCTAGACCTAGGTGACTGGAGGTTAAGGAGGGTTTAACTTCTCATTTGAGAACAAACACACACTTAGCCTCAGTCGGAGAAAATTTGGGCTAAGATACCAAATCAACCTAAATAAAATGACTGAAAATTCATCCTAAAGAACCCAAAAAATTAACTTGGGTTGAGAAGGTATTTTGGAGAAGGTAACCCATAGGTATTTTGGAGAAGGTAAGCCATGGTTGCTAACAAAATATCTTCTAACCACTTGTGATTAATCAAACTGCAAACCCCACCGCAGAATGACAGAACTATGGAATCTTGGCTAGGTCATTCTAAACAACAAAAATAAAATACAAGATGAAAAAAAAATCAGTTAAGAAGTCTTAAGCAACTTAAAATTTCCAACCCCTAAAATTTGAAAAAAAGATATTAAAACTTTAATGAAACCCTTATGAACAAAGATTGCCCAACACAACTTGAACCCCTGACATCCGGGTCTACGAAGATTTCTTTGACGACATAAGCCATGATTGTTGACAACAATCTTTCAGTCCGAAAATGTTTGACCACCCATTGGACTAAGTAGATCAGGGAACCCGAAAACTCTAGGATGTTAAAAAGGCATGGGAATCTTAACCAAGTTGTATAAAATAAAAATAACAACCAACCAAATAAACCAAAACATATTTTATGCTAACTCTGTTTTGCAGGGTTGTTGAGGACAAAAGACTGACGCCACCCTAAATTTACCTTGCATGTTAGTAAGATGTGCTAACTCTGTTTTGCAGGGATGCACATTTAAAACCCAGAGCAAAGGATGCACCTCAATTAAACCATTAAAGATAAAACAAAACTCTAGGATAGTTCAAAATATTCAGGAATCCACTACCCTTAGGATAGGACCTTGAAATTTTCCTTTTCTTGACAATGACATTTGAGCTTTCTTAGGACGAGTGATAACCTTAATCATGAGTTTGCTTAAGCAATTTCCAGATTGCTTAAACTGTAATTAATCATAGGGGCTTGCCCTTATAGGAAGAAGCGAACTTCAGGAAAAGTATAAAAACCTGAATCTCTGGTTATGGGTTTGCTTTCATTATGTCTTCTTTGTTGTTATGCCTCTATAGTGTATTGAACCAACACTTCTGAGCTATATACGCGAAGTCCACTTCACGAAAGCTTCCCCACTTGTTTCTTTTGTTAGTCCCCGTTACTGTAAGCTTTGGCCCTCCGATATTCTCTCCCTTCAAATTATCTACATGATTAGAGAGAGAAGGTTATTTGAGAGAGGGACAATAAGACAGGAAACAAACCCACGACTCTACGATAACGACATGACAACAACAAGAGTGACAACGACACCGCATCGATCGAGGTGGTGACTGCGATGACGATCAATTATCTACTAATAATGATAAATAAATTGAACTTCACCCATTACTTACAAAGACATGAGGCCCCACCAACGTATCACTTGTTATGGTGTTACCACTTCAACCACTAGTGACTGAAGTGGTAGACCAGCTCAATAATTATCATAAAGAGTAATATAACGGTCATTATATAATAAGATGAATCAAAATTAATTGAAGATAATATCATAATAAATTAGATATAATCGACATTATCTACTAAAAATGATAAATGAGTTCAAACTTCACCTAACACATGCAATAAATATAGAGCTCCACCATTATGCCACTTATATGATATTGTCACTTCACCCACTAGTAGTTGAAGTGGTGGGCTAGCCTAATAGTTATCATGGAATGAAATTAAAGACTATTATTAAAATGAATAATAATTAATTAATGATAATATCATAATAAATTAGATATAAATGAGCATTATCCATTAATAATGGCAAATAAATTTGGACTTCACCTATCACATGCAACCTACATGCCCCACCAATGTATTAGCAAATCAATGCACATGAGAAGGAATTCTATGTTGTGAATTTCTTCTATATAAAACTATTTACATGACATATAATAAAATTTACACTATTTTAATTTTAGTTCAAGGTTTGCTAATAATAGTGCTTTTAAAGAGTAAGGGAGATGGGGAAGAAGGTTGGGCTAATGTTGTAATATGGTGGTGAGCTAAGGGCTACAAAAGATTTCATGCCTAACTCTTTGGTGGAAAGCATAAAGTGATACAAGTGCTAATACAAGACAATCTTTGTATAAGAAAATTGTTAATTTAAATGGATTCTCAATTTGAATAATTGGAATTTTATAATTCCATTTATATTAAAGTTCCTTTTAAAAGGACTTATATGAAAGACGAAGCTTTCTCAAACGGGCCTCAAAGACAATCAAGAAGAAATCGGGCGGCTAGATGACTTTTGTATTACTTTACATTTATGATCTCTTATGTTGATTCTACATTTATAGGTTTTTGCTTTTTCAATAATTTTTTAAATAAAATATTTTTTTTTTAGAAAAGTGAATTTAAATTTTTTATTATTAGTACTCATTTGAAACTTAATTATCATACTATTTTACAACCATGATAAAGAATCAAATATTTATATTAAGAATTCATATAATTTATTGCATGGTCTTATGATTAAATTAAGACTTATAATTATTATTGCATAGGGTATATTTTAGTAAATATGAAGTCAAAATATATAAAGCTAATAATTTTAGTAAATATGAAATTTCTACGTAAGATTGTTTTAACCTTTTTCACATGCACATGTTATATGAGATTGTTTTAAACTTCTTTAACTTCTAGACATACTATAACTAGTTTTCTCTTGATTTTGTAATACTAAAATTTCACATGTTAGAACATAAATTTATTCTAAAATTTAATAAGTCTATCATTAGGGCTATCAACAGGTGGTCGGCTTATTAAATAACTTGTGTTCTATTAGTTCGTTAAACAAACGAGCCGAACACGAACAATTTTTTCTGAGCTCGATTTATAAACGACCCGGATATGAACAAATGTTTGTTTGTTCGTGATTGGCTTGTTTTGGCTCGAGATAATTAAATAGTTATATTAACTTTTATATGCATTAAACATGCTAAATTTTATTATTTTTAAATTCTAATTTGACTGTATAAATATAAAAAAAAATAAGTTTAGATGTTAGATATTTAAATAAATAGAATTATGAACCTAAAGCTAAAAGTTAAATTTACCAAAAAATAAAAGTAAAGAAAAAAAAAAAAAAACAAACGAGAAGTTCTGTGAATCCGTGATATTATCTTTTAAGAGTTATGGTAATCTAACATTTTTGTCCCGCATGCGGAAGGCGAGAGCGAAGATGTGAGAGAAGTTTTATAAAAGAAGAAATCACGCGATTCTTTTACCAAAAAAAAAAAAAAATGAATCAAGCATAACACAAGTAAGCTGTTTTTGAGCTGAGCAAAAAGAAAAGAGAAATTTAACTCGAACAAGCATTAAGATAATAAGCTTGTTCAAGCTCAATTCATTTACACCCCTAACAATTAAATTTTTATCTTAATTCGAAAAAAAAAAAAAAAAAAATCTAGCCTAACACAAACACATTGATAATGAGCAATTTTGAATGAACAGAAGAGTAATTTTGAAGGATCTGAACACAGTCGACTTGTTTATAGTCTTAGTTTTTATTGAATAGAAGTTACATGTATATGTCATATAAATCCTCCAAAATATGTGTTTCTATGAATGCAAGTCTTCATGTATTTTATTTATTTATTTATAATTCATGCAAATATCTCCATAATTTATATGAATTGAAGTATCTAAATGTATTGCCATTCCTCTATTCTTTAAACCATGTTTTTCTTATGCATAAGCTCTCATTCATCAATAAATATAAAATATAATGTGCTTCTTTTTCGGTAATAATTAGTATTTTGATGGTTGATGTAGAAATTATTAGTTGATTTTTCTAAAATATTATTATCATAAAAAGTATTGATTAATTATCGTAAAAATAATTTTGATATAAATTTATGAAAATTATATTCTATAAAATTAGAAAATTTTAGAAAAAATAAAATAGGTTACTTATTTCTATAATATTTAATATTTTAAGGGAAAAAATGTAAATATTAAACATATTATGGATAAAATGTAATTTTGATGACCATTTAATCCCTACAAAGTATTGAGGCTTTTTGACTTAATTTTATATTGCTTTCATTTTGATCTCTATGAACATTTATATACATTTTTCAAATAGTAAATAATTGGAATATTGATTAATAAGAAATTCATAATTTCCATGCCGCAATAAAAATCAAATTTTTATTTATTTATGGTGAAATAGCGTATTTTTTTCAACAACAGTAAATAATATCTTTTTCGAGGTACCAACCAGCATCAGCTCGTTCATTTCTCCACTGATTTTCCTTCTCCATTTTCTATTCCGATCTGATCAATTCCACGACTAAGCAAAGCTTTGTATCAATAGATCCATCCGGCGATCATTCGTACAGTAGCAGAACAAGGACGGAGATCGACCGGAAAGAGATCGGAGGCGGCGCGGCGGGAAATTGAGAGATCGGAGATTCACTGCGGCTAGATGATGGAATGGGAGACAGTGCAGCATCTCGATTTGAGGCATGTCGGCCGTGGCCTCAAGCCCCTGCAGCCTCATGCCGCCGTCTTCCACCCCACTCAGGCCGTCGTAGCAGTCGCTATCGGCACCTACATCCTCGGTATGCCCTCAATCTTCTTTTTGGTTTCTCAGAAGCGTTGTTAGTTCAGCGTATGTGCGACTTGATTGCTAATGCTGAGGAGCTGTTCGGTAGCGGGATTAGAGCAGGATTTAAGCATTGTTTAACCTAAATCCTGCCAAACAGCAAAAAGGACGTCTTTTAAATCTTGCAGGTTCTTAAATCCCGTGTTTCCTCCGTTGTGCCAGAATTTGCATAGATTTTTAGATTGTTCTTGGATTTTTATATGTAGCGATCAAATTGTAATATAAAATCTTAATTTCATTTCCAATACTGATCTAAATACCTAACAGCAACTTTTCTCTCCCTCTTTGCTTCTATCATTCGGCCAATGTAACAGATGTCTCCAATCCCTACAACAACGCTGATTTGAACTATAGTAGCTCCTTATGCAAGTGCTAAAGTTTACATCTTTCAGCCAAGACACTAGAGACTTTTATAACACACATTTAACTGCTATGTTGTTCCTTTTTTTTTTCCCTAAATATAGCAAGTCATCGACTCATTGTGGTTTATAAAATACCGAGAAAATCAGTATCTCTCAGTGCATTCCATAGGAGAACTAATTTCCCTATTTTAGATACTTCCTATTGGTTCCTTAGCCTTTATGTACACCCATATTTAGATTGGTATTTTGATATTGGAGTGCTTTCAATTGGTAGAAAAAATTTACATGGCTAAATTAAGAACTGGAATGAAACTTGGTGATTTTGTGGAGCTTGAGGTCTATTATTATGATTAGGAAAACCAATGAAAGTTTATTTGGTATGAAATATTAGATTACTTCTTTTGAAACTTTTATTCCTATGGCAACACAACCATTGTTTGCTCCACCACTTGTTGAGACAGAAGGAGAGACATTAATAGAAGACAACAACCTACAAAGGGGAATCCATTAAAAATGAGAGAAGTAAGAAAGAATATTGAAAGAAGAGAAGATCTTGAAGATAGAGCCAAAGTTGGAGTTGCCTTACTACGATGGGACAATCAAAGCCGAGGTAGGGAACAATCAATTAAAGAAGTCAGATTTACCTATGGTGGAGAACGTACAACGACTATAGTACCTGCCAAATAATGCTTCGGATGCCATGAATTTGGGCACATTGCCTCTAGCTGCCCGACGAGCCGAGTTATATCTTTTATTGAGCAAGGCGTTGTGGAAGAGATTAGCGAGGAGTAGACAACTAAGGACCAGAGTGAGATATATCTTCCCATAGATAAAGGAGAGACTCGTTATTCGAAGTGTCCTAAAGACTGATATTGATACAAGGGATTCACAATGGCTTCATCACAGTATTTTCAACACCCGTCACACTGTAAATTGGAAGATATGTCATCTCATCATCAACAGAGGAAGCAATAAGAATGTGACATCCACTTAGATGGCAGAAAAATTATGACTCACAACTCAGAGGCATTCTCAGCCGTATTCACTGACGTGACTGAAGAAAGAAATAAGACTCAACATCGATTGACAATGCTTAGTAGAGTTTCTAATAAGGACTCAGCTGCAGGATCGGGTATGGTGTGACATGGTCCTCATGGATGCCTACCATCTTATGCTAGGAAGACCGTGGTAGTTTGATTGGAAGACTCAACACAATGGATTCAGAAACACGTATTCCTTCACCAAGGATGACAAACAAATCATTCTACTTCCTTTGGTAGAGCCCAATGACATAGTAGCCCTCATCAGTAGAGCAGCGAGACCGGTTTTAATAACATTAGATTTTTTACCACCATGGCCACCACCATGCGAGAAATTTCAGTCTCAGGAGATTGAACCGAGATGGAGGTACACTCGCAAGTGCTTTGGGAGACATTAAAGTCGACATTGGACCTAAGTGCTGCCAGGATTAAAGACAAGGAACCGGAAGCTTCGAAGAACTAGGACGAAGCTCACTCACTTCCGGTAGACTGACTTGGGGGTATGGGGGCCGGTCTGTTCTCGGTCCAACTTTGTTGGACCGACCGGTCCTCAAGAGGGGGTTGCTGCCCATGCTCCCGCTTCCTTTCCTTTTCCTCCTATTCCCTCTTTCCCTTTCCCATCTTTCCTTCCTAGCGCTTGCTAATTTTGAATTTTTATTAGTTTTTGCTTATTTTGAATTCTTCCTATTATAAACATTGCCAAAATTATGAATTATTATTATTTTATTCTCTTCTTTATTTTAAAACATTGCCTAAAATTAATCCTAAGTCTCATTATTATTTTTATTCTTGGAGTTTCTCAGCTTTTGAGTTAAGTGATTTCTTAAGTCAGATTACCACATTCGACGTTCCCTTCAAGGCTATATTCAAAGGAGAGCAAGTGCAACGGCTGCAGCTCGACCTCGACAAGACATTTATCTTGCCATACTTTCATTTTTTGGTAGTCAGATTACCATAGTAGCTTTTTCCACTGCTGCCAGCTATCTTTCTTCTCCTGTTCAGTCACCTTCTTACTTTTGTCCAGCCTTCGCAACCCCTCTTACACTGCTGCCAGCCTTGCTCCTTCCCCCAGGACTCCTTCCAGCCGCTGTCTTCCTCATCGACCACCTACCAACAACCCTTCTAGCTCCTCCTTGCCCCTGACCGACCCTCCCAGTAGCCCGCCAGCTTTGATGCCCTCTCCGGTTCCTTTCTAGCAAGCCGCCAGTTCTCTCCAACACCTTCAGGCCACCTGTCGACTCCTCCCTGCAGCCGCCAACCTTCTCGGCCTTTTTCCCGCGATCGCCAACATCGTTTTTTCATCTTCGCTCTGCCGTACCTATCGTAGAGGGCTATTTCTGTTTTATGTTATTGTTTTTTCCATAATTTTAATAGCGCTCATTGTCGTTTAATGTTTACCTGTGTTATGTTATTTCCTGTTGAAGAGTCGTCATTGCAACCTTGTAATGTTCTGTAATAATAATTGTAATTTTGAGTTCTTGTTTGAGTATCATTTGATATCAGAGCTAGCTCAACCCTAATCTCATACTAGGGGTTTTCTAGCATCCGCCCCTACCCAAGCCACCACAATAAATGTCTTTTTTTTTCTCTTTTCTCAACTTGTCATTCTTCTTACTTGTTTCCCTTTTCTTTTTTTCTTTTTTCTACAGATCTCAAACTGTCAATCATGCTGCCTAGAAGAATTTTGCCTGAACCTACCCGAAAAGAGGTACGACAAGAGCTCCATTACCTCCAATAGAGAGTTGCAGAGATTAAAGAGATGACACACGAAAAAGTTACCTTTGATCGAGACATGGAGAGTCGAAGGATAGAGAGAGAAGAGATCTGAATCCCTTCTATAAGGATAATTTAAGCGATGATGAAGAAAGACAATGATGTTTCACAATCTAGTATCAGAGGAGGCCTAGAGAGGGATACCTGCATCTCTTTCACAGGAAACTTTTTGAGAAGAGATGCCATTTGGAGGACACTGAGACAATGAAATCAAGGTAGATTTGCCCGAGATTGAGGTACATGGATCCAGATGAATTCATCAAATGTCTACAGACAATTGAGCGAATATTCAAATACAAAGAGGTGCCCTGAAGAGAGGCGGGTCAAATTAGCTGCTATCAAATTAAAGAAAAGTGCATCTCTATGGTGGGAGAATATACAACGACAAAGGAGGCGAGAAGTAGACCTGTGCATTGGGTGGGTGGCATGACGGGGCTCGCCATAAGCCCGTGGGCCAAGGGCGGGCTTGGCTGTAAAAAAATAGAAATTTGGCGGGCCCGGTCTGAACACACATTGACTTAGTCTAAGCCTCGAAGTAGCCAAACCAAGCCCGCCCATGTGGAACCCAGAGCGAAAGAAAAAAAAAACTATATACTAAATTTCATGTAAAATAACAATTTTTGTAGGATTTATAGACTACCATACTATGCATATAAGAAAAATGTTAGCATGTGATTCTTATATATTTATATGACTGAAATCTAAACTTTAAATATCTACAAACATACTATTCAGTTCTTACGCGTTCAATTATTTAACACCTAATCTTCATATCTACATACCTAAAATTCAATTCTTACGTATCTACATATTTAACACCTAATGTTCATATCTAAATACATATATATACCATTCAATCACCTAAACTTCACATTTACATGCATGCCGTTCAAATTTTTTTATTCACTGTTTAGCATCTGAACTTTAAATTTTTATAGGCATACTAGTTATTCATACGCATTTACATATTTAAAACCTTAACATTTTTTCATTTTGAGAAGTCTTTGAAATTGGAAGTGCATGTCTCTAGGATTTATAAAATTTAGATATATCTTCAAAATATAAAATTTTTAGTTTATATTTTCGCCTAAAATATTTTGTTATCGAATCAATTTTCTTTTTTATTAAGGCCCGTGGGCCCACGGGCTAGCTTGACCCATTTAGTGGTGGGCTTGGCTATGAAACTCTAAATAGAAGTAAACTCAAGCCCAGCCCTAGCCCGTTTTAACTGGTCAAAGCTTGAGAAAGCCTAAATGTCGCCAAGCGAGGCCTGTCCAATGTCCAGGTCTAGCGATAAGATAACGATAAGATTACCAGGTGGGAGAAGATGAAAAAAGCCATGCAGATGAAATACCTTCTCCCTCATTAATGTTAGGACATATTTCTGAGACTCTACAAAATGCGGTAGAGGGGGTTTTCAGTGGAGGAGTTTACAGCTCAGTTCAACCACTTACAGTTAAAGTGCGATCTGACAGATTCAGAGGAGAATACAGTAGTCAGATATCTTGAGGGCTTGAAGCCTAGTATTAGTAATGTGTTGCAGCTATAGCCGTACTGGACGCTTGGGGATGTCCAGACACTAGCATTGAAAGTGGAAAGACAGTAGAAGCAGAGCTGAAAGCCACCACCAGTGAATCAACTACCAACAGTTAGAGACATTAGCAGAGCGCATGGCAAGGTGCTGGGAAAATTGGTTCGTATATGGATAAGGCCACCCAGTGAGAAGCCGACTATCGTAACCGCTAGAAAATGCTTCAAATGCTACGGATTTGGGCACATAG